AGGATCCGGTCCTCTGGTGGGAAGCATTCACGACGCAGCTTCGGATCCTGCCAGTCGCCAAGCACGCATACATCGGTGCCCTTTTTCTTAACTCAAAGGGCGCATGCCAGACTTGGTTGACCCATCTGGCAGCCACTCACGGCGTCGACGTGGTAGATCTTCGAGACAAGATCACATGGGAGGAGTTGACACGGTTGTGGAAGAAGAGGTTCATCGTCGACGACGCGCCTGCCCTCGCCATCAACCGCCTCTTCACCATGACCCAAGACAACACGGCAACACGAGACTGGCTCACGGAATGGCAAAAGATCGCAGCAACGCCGGATCTGGACTTGCCATTTACGCATCTGCGCCGAGAGTTCTACAATAGGTCATGTGCTGCACTGAGCCAGGCACTTGGTGATCGCGAGCAGTACTCAACCTTCGTTGAGATCATCGACAAAGCGAGGGAGATCATCAAGACTAATAGGGCGGCTGCACACGAGAAATCAGCATGGCAGCCAACCTATGCGGAGAAGGTAAAGACTGGTCCGCGGCAGCAGCATTTCGCTGCAGTCCAATCGGACAGTGGAGACGACCCGGCAGCCACCAAGGCATCAAGTGAAGGAGATCAGGTGGCTGTTGTCCAGCCGAGAAGCACCAACAAGTCCCGGAACAATGGGAAGGCGAAGACCGCATCATCGGCTGGAACAGGACAGCCAGCGCCATGGGTCAAGTTTAACTTGACCGAGGCCAAATACAAGTACCGTGGTCGGTACGGCTGCTGCTACTGGTGCAATAGCACCAAGCACAAGACCTCCCTCTGCCAGGACAAGGAGAAGGAGGATGTTCGGCCTCGCAACAACTCAGGAAACTGAGTAGCGGGGGACGTGAGGCGACTCCACCTCCCACTCCGCCAGATCCGGCCGCCTTGCTAGCGGCCTCCTACACATCTGGGGAGGATGCGAATGTCGCAAGTTCTCGTGTCACTTACGAGGACTATGCTGTCCACTTGGTCCCACCGCTGGACCAACCACTCCACGTGCAACACTCCACCGCATGCACGGTTTCATCTCCATCGGCAACCGATTCGGCAGTTCCGCCATCATTTACCTCAGGGGATTCGTCGATGTGGTCAAGACTTGAAGAGCTCGACCCGTTGACAGTCGCGGACTTCCAGTGGATGCCCGTTCCCCCGACCGGTCGAYTGTCGAAACCGCATTACAATGTGCTCATGGCACAATTGCGGGAGTATTTGCACACTGCAGTACCAACTCCGTTGATGGACGTCGGAGTAGAGGTTGTCGACCTTCAGGAGTACATCGCGAAGATCGACCGCGAGTTCAAGACACAACGGTACGACGACATTGACGCACCATTGTTGTATGTACGCATTCAGATCGAAGAGGCGACCTGCAGCGCCTTGATCGATTGCGGTGCAACTCGCAACTACATGAGTCAGGACTTCATGGTACGCGCCGGCCTTGGCCCACGCGTCAGGAGGAAGTCCCATCCGACACACGTGACGTTGGCCGATGGTCACACGCACAAGTCAATTGACCGGTGCATTGACAACGTCCCTATGTATTTCGCCCCGCATGCACGCGAGGCCGTGTCCTTCGACATTCTGGACACTAAGTTCGACATGATTTTGGGCATGTCATGGCTGCGAAGTGAGGACCMCCCGGTGAACTTCTACCGCCGCACCGTTCACGTTCGTGACCGGGATGGAGTACTAGTCCCATGCACGGTGCCTCCTCCTCACCCTTCGATCAGCTGTCACGTGGTGTCCACCGCAAGTATTCGAGGTTTCATCATCAAGGATGACATTGAGGAGATGGGGGTGTGTTTTCTCCACGCCCTCCCGCCCCAGGACACCCCATTGACGGACGCATCATCGGACCCACGCATCACTGAGTTTCTCGCCACTTATAGTGACGTGTTCGAGGCCCCGCATGGAGTAGTACCGGATCGGCCCATCTGCCACGAGATCATCCTCGAGGACGGGGCTGTACCTCCGCGTGGTTGCATCTACCGAATGAGCGAGGAAGAGTTAAGTGTGCTACGGGCACAACTCGACGACCTTCTGGAGAAAGGCTGGATTCGRCCTAGCTCTTCGCCATACGGTGCGCCTGTTCTCTTCGTCCGGAAGAAGAACAAGGATTTGCGGTTGTGCATTGACTATCGTAAGCTCAACGCGCAGACGGTCAAGAATGCCGGCCCTCTCCCACACATCGACGATCTCCTGGAGCGACTGGGCAGCGCCAAGTTCTTCTCCAAGTTGGACCTCAAGTCGGGTTTTCACCAACTTGAGATTCGCCCGGAGGACCGATACAAGACCGCGTTTAAAACGCGATATGGGCATTTCGAATGGCTGGTCATGCCGTATGGCCTTACGAATGCCCCAGCCACATTCCAGGCGGCTATGACATTGGAGTTTCGACACATGCTGGATCGTTTCGTACTCATCTACCTCGACGACATCTTGGTGTACAGTCGGAGTTTGGACGAGCATGTGGAGCACCTGTGCACCGTTCTGGAACGGCTACGACAGACCAAGTACAAAGCCAACCGCGACAAATGCGAATTCGCGCAGCAAGAGCTGGTGTACTTGGGACACTATGTGACGCCGCAAGGCATCCGTCCGCTTGCGGACAAGATCGAGGCCATCCGCGTATGGCCCGAGCCCACCAACACCACGGACGTTCGTTCATTCATGGGGTTGGCAGGCTATTATCAGCGTTTCATCACCGGATACTCAAGGATTGYCRCACCTCTGACGAGACTACAATCGCCAAAGGTGTCATTCGTATTCGATGACGACGCGCGCCAGGCTTTCCAAGCACTCAAAACGGCCATGCTCATGGCACCCGTCCTTAGCATCTACGACCCCACTCTGCCTACGAGAGTGACGACTGACGCTTCCGGTTACGGCATTGGGGCAGTCTTGGAGCAGCACGACGGCGAGGATTGGCACCCTGTGGAGTATTTCAGCCACAAAGTGCCTCCCATCAATTCTCTGGATGATACAAGGAAGAAGGAGCTGCTTGCGTTCGTCATGGCTCTCAAGCGATGGCGGCACTTCCTTCTTGGGCGTCGTAGGTTCACATGGGTCACGGACAATAACCCATTGACCTACTACAAGACGCAGGACACGGTGAGCAGCACGATTGGACGGTGGATGTACTTCATCGACCAGTTTGACTTCACACCGAAACACGTTGACGGCCTCTCCAATCGCGCAGCAGATGCACTTTCGCGACGACCTGATCTTTGCGCTATGACGCATCACGCCTTCGCGTTCAACGAGGACCTCCAACGACACTTCATCAGGGGCTATCAGTCTGACCCAGAGTTTGCTACGTTGTATGCGCAGCTATCTTCGGATCACCCGCCGGCCAGCCACTATCGCATTGCCGACGGGTACTTGCTCCTCCACTCGAGAGGCAAGGACTTACTGTGTGTCCCACGCGACCGCCGTCTTCGGACTCGCCTTCTCGGCGAGTATC